GGCAAACTACCACCTATGGGCCAAATCTGTGTGATAATTTTGTAAGGCTTGTGAGCTAAAAATGGTTTTTACATTTTTAATTGTTTTTAAAAATTAAAAGCATAATAATATTTCATGATGTGAAAATTATATAAAGTTCAAATTTAATGTCATTAAATAAAGTTTTCTTGGAACACAGCCATACTAGTTTATTTACATATTGTCTATGGTTGCTTTCACACTACGATGGCAAATTTGAGTAGCTGCAACAGAAATTGTATGGCCTGTAATGCCTGAAATATTTACAATCCAACCCCTTATAGAAAAAGTTTGCCAATCCCTGGTTTATTGTGTGACATATATTTTATAATATTAAAAAGTATCGTAGCATTAAAGAAAAATTCAAGAAGTAAAAAGAAGTATAATTCTACCATCTACAAAAATTTGCTTAATTTTCCCACGTTTTATTCAAGTCTTTGACAAAACCCATATATTTTCATTGAAATCAAGCTAAGACATTTTGCACTCCATTTTTTTCCTTCTTGTATATCATTTCATATATTTTTTGATGTACTATGTGGCATTCAAATTTGCATTGTTTAATGGTATAACATGGTTCAAATTTATAAACCACATACCTTCTCCCTTCTCATGTTTAAACTTTTATTTTATTTTATTTTATTTATTTTATTTTTTGGTTTGTTTGTTTTTGACCAGTAAGGGGATGCAACCCTCGGCATGGTGTGGTCCGCACCACACTCAGCCAGTGAGCTAACTGGCCATCCCCATATAGGATCCGAACCTGCAGCCTTGGTGCTCCCAGCGCCGTACTCTCCCGAGTGAGCCACGGGGCCGGCCTAAACTTTTATATTCTTATTTTTCCCTACTTTTTATTGGTTACAGGGCAAAGAACATCTTTGTTTATAGAGCTTCCTCCCTCCTTTTGACTTATTTAATTAGAATAAATTCCTAGGAATGAAATACCTAACCTTCCCTTCACTCCCGAAACTTGTTACAACTCTCTCTTCCTCTCTTTACTCCAATAACCTCTTGCTTCTTCAGTCTTTTTGCTTATCCCTTTGCCTTCTCTAACATAACTGGTCTCTCTCATTTGCCTTTTTTCTAGTGGTTGCTTAGGCACCGAAAAAAGCTCTCTTGCTCTTAAATTCCAGCTTGATCACACTATCTCTTTAGTGGTTCAACATTCTGCAATGCATTGTGAGGGGTTCTTGCTCTACTTTCTTAACCCTTCCTCTCATCACAGTATCTACTTCCTTCCACTCTACTCCTTTGAGGTTAAAGTCTGCCATGATGTCTCTGTAAGTCCCAAAGCTTTTTTCTCTTTTTATCTTCCCATGGGAGCTCCTGCTCTGAAATGACCTCCCTACTATTCTTCAGGTCTTTCTATTTTCTTTCCTGTCCTTCCTCAGGGCCTGCCTCTTTCATAGAACTTTCTCTAATGGTTGGGATAGGCCCACCTCTTTTGAGTCCACATTCAACCCATACATATCTCAGTCCGTTAACTCTACTTTGCCCCATTCTAAGTTGGTTTACTCTCCTTTGAATGAAGATGAAGTTAGAGAGCAAAAAGTAAAAACTTGCAAGCAGACAACATTCAGATTCCTCCACTTACAGTTTCAAAATAATCAAACCCTTGAGATTAATTCAAGGATCACAGGCCATACTGTCTTAGTAATAGGAGATCTATAAAGTGAGGTCCATGGATCAGCAGCATCAGCGTCACCAGGAAGCTTATTAGAAATGCAGAATTGTAGGCTCCACCTCACACCTACTGAATTAGAATCTAGGCTTCTAACACGATTCCAGTGATTTGCATGTACAATAAAGTATGAGAAGCACTGGTCTCGTGGACCAGCAAGTGCTTACCACAAAGGGCCTCCAAAAGGGCTCCAAGGATCAAAGAGATGATTTTCACCTCTGGTTGGACAAAGTGTGGTGGGAGGGTTATCTAGCTGCCATAACTATCACCCTTTTGATGGACAGAGTTGATTTGGTTGATCTCCAGACTAGGTGGGAAGCTTCCCTCACTCACCATTCTAGGTACAGGTACATTTCTCTGAAGCTGCAAAAGCGTTTAAAGAAGACAATCTTTCTCAAGAAACAAAGACTGTTCTTCAACCAAGAGTATAGGTGAGCTTATAGAATCTTTGGTAAAATGGACACATCCTATTAGGGGTTAGAAAATAACATTTCTGTAATCTTTTCCAACAAAAAATATGTATGAATAGCACAGAACCAAAAGACAAGAATACTTTGTATTCTTCATTCTTTCAATAAATTCACTCAGTAAATATTTATTAAGCATCTACTGTGTGCCAGACACTATTCTAGGTACTAGGGATACAGCAGGGAACAAATCAAAGTCCCTGACTTAGTGTGGTTTGCATTCTAGGGGATGAGATGAGCAGCAAACAAGGACATAATATTGCATGTAGTGATAGTGTTTTAAAGAAAAATAGAGTGGTAGAGCACACTGATTAAGATGGGTGGTTAGGGAGGGTCTTTCTAAAGTAAAGACATTTGGGAATATACCTGAATGAAATGAGGGAGCAAGTCATCCAGGTATTTGAGGGAAGAGAATTCCAAGCAACAGAAACAGTTAATGCAAAAGGCTTGGTGTAGGAACAAGTTTAGAGTGTTCAAGGAACGTCATAAAGACCAATGGGTACTGGCTAGAAGCAAAACAAAAATCAATGAATGTGATTGGAGCAGATTAAGCAAGGAAAAGAGTGGAATGAGATGAGACTGGAGAGGTGAGTGGAATCAAATCATGTAGAGTCTTTAACAGGTTTGGATTTCATGCCAAGTGTGATGAAAGCCATTGCAACATTTTGAGCAGAGGAGTGACATGATACAACCTACATTTTAAAAGGCTCTCTGGCTGCTGGTGGGGAATGAACTCTAAGGGGGCAAGGGTGGAAGCAAAGAGGCCTAATAGCAGGCTGCTGTAAAGGTGTGTGTGGTTGGTTTAAATTAGTGTGGTTATGATGGTGGTGGTGAGAAAGGGTCCAATAATCTTGACTTTCTACCAAATACTATTTTAAAAGTTATCAACAGGTGACTGGAGTGATTTTTTTTTTTAATCTTGGATGGGAAACTGGTTTAGGTGTAGAAAACAAAGAATAGGAATAATAGGGCTTCTCTGGATTGAGCAATGTAAACAACATCCCCTGAGAATCAGTGTTATCTAACATTTCATAAATGATTAAGAAAAAACGAATATTTTGAGACATTTTTAGGTACACAAATTATATTTTGCTTTCCACACAGTTAAATGTCAAGTCAGTAGGGAGCATCTTCTGGAACATTTTTAAACGTATGTGAGTAAGCTGGAAAGTGGCAAATGTCTTGCCACATGGACAAGTGCAAGGCAGCTCACATAGGGGGAAGACAATTCAGATAGTACCTTTAAGACAATTAACTGAACTTCCAGTTGCCACCAAGGAAAGGGGTCTAGAAATCGCTGTAGATTATTCCTTGAAGACATCAGCTCTTCTAACATCCGAAAGGCCAGCGGAAGTTCTAGCTGTCCAGAATAAAGACAAACCACCAGCCTCAACAAAACCTCAGGACACCACTCTTAGGACTCTGTGTGCAGTGCTGGTCACTGTATTCTAAGAAAAATAAGAGCCAGAGGAAGGCAGGTAAAATGATTGAAAGGATAGAGGGACTTTTGTCTGATGGGTTAAATGCCCATAAAGAAGATAAGAAGAAAAGTCTATAAAAGCATGAAAGATCCAGAGAGAATAAAAATAGCCCTTTTGATGCAATCCCATAATTTTGAAATTAGGGGACAAAAGAAGCTTGAAAATGGGGGCAATGTAGAAAGAGGCCATTGGAAGGCATATAAAAGAAGGTCCTTCTATAGACAGGGTATTTTTAAGTATTCTCCAATATGTGAAAGGACAGGTGGCGGCAGTAATCGGGTAAGGGCTGGGGGAAGGGGACAATCAGCCCACCTCAATAGTCCTTTGTTGGGACAACTACTACTCTGGACTGGCACCTGCCTTCCTTCTCCCTCCAGATCACCATGTAATAACCCAAAAAGAGCAAAAAACACCGACGAGACATTCGAAAGATTCAAAATGCTAATATTAAATCTCATTCTTAGTGAAAATTAGATTGAAAATAAATTCAAAAATGAAAGACTTATGACAGATTAATCAGAGAAATTAAGGGTGTTGGAGGGGGTACATTTTTAAACTTTGTGATTCTCCATGGAGAGATACTATGTCCTCAAAAGAAATGGTACTTGGTAATCTGAATTAGATGGATAAAATAAGAACATTTCTTAAACATTGTTTATCACCATCTGAATTCTCATAGTCAGAAAGTGAGAGTTATGGACTGAAACAGGGATTAGATCATTTAAATTTCACCCACAGCACAAGTCCTTCAATAGTGTTCAGCTGACTGAAGAAAAGGAGTCTCTAATGAACCGTTACTGGCGTGTTGAACAGTTAGCAACTCTGGGCTAACGAATCTGTATTGACCTTTCCTCACAGGGGAAAAAAAAAAAAAATCGGGATCTAAACGGAAAAAGGAAGGGGAAGGTAATAACCATAATGTCACTGAGTTAGGAGATGTTAAAATGGGCCACAACCTGATGGGCCCTTACTTTTAGGTCAAATTTATATATATACATACATACATACATATTATGTTTTCTCTTTTCGAGAAATATTAGACTCAGACACCTCATCTCTCCCAAAGAAAACAGTACCCTTACTTCCTTCCCATAGGTCCCTTTCTTTACCTGCTTCTGCTCTCCGGGTGGGAACTTTCAGCCCCGTCTCCCTGCTCATCCAAGCTCCGCCTTCCCAGTCCACCTGTGTGCCCAGCCCCTGACGTTGCCGTTTGGCTTCAGCGGCCTGCAGGACTCCGGCTTTTGATTGGTCCGCCCGTCCATGGCCGGCGCAGCCCACCAATGGCAGAGGTGCTGGGTGGGAGGGGGCCCACATCCAAGATGGCGCCCCCCCGGAGCTGAGAGTGGGTGACCGGCGGCCGGAAAGCGGCCTGGGTTGGCCCTCAGATTGCGGGGTCCAGGGGGCATCAAGCCAGGCACCCCCCTGTCCGCCTACAAGGCCTTCCCCGGGCCAGAGCAATGGCCGCCGAGAACAGTAAGCAGTTTTGGAAGAGGAGTGCCAAGCTGCCGGGGAGGTGAGCCCAGGACGCTGAGAGGGAGAAGGGATTGGACCAAACCGTTCCAGATCCTAATCCCTAAAATTTTGCGGGCCTGGGGCGCCACCGAGGCCGGAAGACTGATTTGGGGGACCCGGGCTAGGGAAGCTAGGGCTGCCCAGTGGCAGCAGGGCAGCTGTCAGGCAGAGGAGCTGGCTGCGAGCTTTGGGGACAGCTGGGTGTGGGGTGCAGACCCGGGTCTGAGAGTGGAGGTCCTAGGAGGAGTGACCTCAACTGGGAGGTGGCCGAAGACTTGGCTTAAGGGGCAGTGAAATTGAGTGTGTAGTCAGTGTCGGTCCTGGGCTCGGAGGACCATCCCCAGAGCTGCTTCCCACTTTAAACAGAACTCCCTCTCGGGGGTCGCCACCACTCACAAGTGGTTGTATGCACGAGGGTGGCCCCTTCCCTTACTCCCCAAGATCAGCGCGTACGATTCTTTTTCCCGGACTCCCAAAGGGTTATGGAGGGAGCTTGGGGCCGCCTGCGGAGGCGTGGGGGACAGGAAAAGTGAGGAGTTCTCAAGCCCGACCTTACTTTATCTTTCCCATTAGGAATTATTACAAGGTGACCACAGAATTGGTGTTATTACTTTGGCATTTTCTAAGGATTTGTCCAGCCCCAAGTGACCTCTTCTTCCCCTGCATTGAAATGCTCTTCTTGTGCAAATGCACTAATTCTTCAATTTGTTGGTGGTGAGACCTTCTAAGCTACTTTTTCTTTTCTTTTACTTTCTGGTGTGTGTTGAGATTCTCAGCAATTATCCATCAACCTGCTGTTGATTTACAGTTTCAATTTATTTGGGGCAGAGTCCTAAGAAGTATAAGGAGAAATGTGGGTTTCAGTCGTGAATTTAAGATAGATTCCTGCCAGCCACTGTTTACTTGGTGATGAAATTCATGTTTGGTTGTGCCCCACATGCTAATTAACTCCGGTCTTTTTTCCTTCTGGGATAATCTTTTGAACTTGACTTTTTTTTTTTTTTTTTTTTTTTTTGTAATGCTTAATCCACTTGCATTTCTTTTTTTGTAATCCTCTTACCAATTTTTAAGTATTTATATTATTTTAACAGTTTAACAGTATTGTTAACTATATACATATTATTGTACAACAGATCTCTAGAACTTTTTCATCTAGTGTGAATGAAATTTTATACCCATTGAACAACTCTCCATTTCCTCTTTCCCCCCAGTCCCTGGCAACCACCATTTTACTTTGTTTCTATAATTTTGATTACTTTATATATCATATAAATGGAATCGTGAAAAATTTGTCTTTTTGTGATTGACTGTCTTATTTAGGATCATTTTAGACATATGGAGAATAAAAGGTGGGAATCAGCTTATAGTAATAAATGTTAAAATAATACAAGGGAATGCAAAGATAGCTTCAGATTAAAGTGTTTTGTGTTTTTAGATAAGCACTACTTCCTGCCAACTGATTCCTTTTCCTTCCTGGTCTAGTGAGCTCTCCAGTTGTTCTAACTGCTGTTCTCTGGGGTTTTCCATAGTGAGATCATTACATTTTGGCATCCTAACATTATAATCAGAATCAATGGGAAAATTGTTCTATCAGGAAGCAATATAGGAGATGTGGGACATGGCATGGTCTTTTATGCTTTCTGACTGCTAGTTGCTATTAACTGTCTTTTGTTTTCTATACCGTTATTTCCTCTATTGGACCACAGGAACAGTCATCTTTGATTTTTGCTTTTTTGTTTCGGTGGCTGGCCAGTGAGGGGATCTAAACCCTTAACCTTGGTGTTATCAGCACCATGCTTTGCCAAGTGAGCTAACCAGCCAGCCCTCGTCGTCTTTTTTAAAGCATTACTTTTGTGAGATAAGAGTAGTCTTTTCAGTTTATTCAAGTTTTTGGCTTCCTTTTTCATTTTGAAGAATATAGGATAGAGGAGAGAACTTTTGAGTTCAGAAAGACTTGGGTTATTATTTGGGATCTCTTTCCTGTGTGACCAAGACAAATAATTGACTCGATCTCTCTGGGCCTCAGTTTCCTTGTCTATGAAATGAGGAATAAAAATACTTTCCTCAGGGTTACTGTGAAGATTAAATTAAATACTCTATTTGTAAAGAACCTAGGACAGTGTTTATTTAGCACATTCTAATTGCTCAAAAATTGGTAGTTATTTATGTTACTGTTATAATTAGAGGAGGTAAACATTTAAAAGAATGTTTCACAGATCCTTACCCCAGTACTAGTTATTTGTCTTCATTGTTTATTTATTTATTTTATTGGGGGCTGGCCTGTACAGGGACCCAAACCCTTGACCTTGGTGTTATAGCACCACTGCACTCTAACCAACTAAGCTAACTGGACAGCCCCGTTGTTTATTCTTAAGGCATTAAAATGTTGCCACAATTTCTAATAGGTATTAGGACCTCGCTTGTTGAAGAGAAATTGTTCAGCTGTGTGCTTTTAGCAGGGAAGCCCTGGGAGCCCCTGGTTATGGGAGAAAACTAAGTTTCTTTCAGATAGAAAGGTGCTTTGATTTAAGCAACGTGTTAGGGCATTTTCTCAAGAATTGAACTTTTGTGTCTTTACTCTTTAGGTCTTAGAAAAGAAAAACTTTCTCCTGGATGGGGAAATGACACAAATGACTGTGTACTAGATTCATGGCAATTCAGAAGTGAAAATATTTTACTCTTCTTTGCATATTGAAAGGTAAAAAATCAAAGTGGTGGCAGGTTACTTTCAGTTTCTTTGATCATGATCCAGCAACCTTAGTGACAACAAATAGGAGTTTTATTAAATAAAATCGCCTAAGTTCAAAATGAATGAAACATTCTTTTTTAAAATATCAGCTTTATTAAGAAGTAATTCACATACTATAAAATTCACCCTTTTAAAGTATGCAATTCAATGGTATTTGGTATATTCATCTATAGTACAGATGGTTTTGTGCAGCCATCACTACTAACTTCAGAACATTTTCATTACCCCAAAAGAAGCCCCATACCCATTAGCAGTCCCTCCCTATTCCTCCCTCCCTCTAGACCCTGGCAAGTACTAATCTCCTTTCTGTTTCTATGGATTTACCTCTCCTGGATATTCCATATAAATGCAGTAACATAATATGAGGCCTTTTCTGGCTCTATTTCATATAGTAATATGATATAAGGCTTCTTTTACTAAGAACGTTTTCAAGCTCATCCGTGTTGTAGCATGTATCAGTACTTCATTCCTTTTCGTGGCTGAATAATAGTTCCTTACATGGATATACCACATTTTGTTTATCCATTCATCAGTTGACAGACATTTGGATTGTTTCTACTTTTGCCTACTATGAATAATGTTTATATAAACATTCATGCACTTGTTTTTGTGTGGGCATGTTTTCCATTCTTTTGAGTATATGTGGGAGGGGAATAGCTGGGTTGTATGGTAACTTGATGGAATTAAACATCTTTTAAGTTCTCTCAGTTATTCACGAGAGCTACATGTACTTAAAACGTCAAATGGTTACATTGATACCTAGGAAGAAAGGAGGCAGTGTGTACTTTGTGGTTAATGATGTAGTCTCTGGAACCTGATTGCCAGGGTTCAAATCCCAGCTCTGCCACTTCTAGCTGTGTTACCTTGTGGAAGTTAGGTAACCTCTCTGTGCCTCTGTCTCCTCTTCTGTAAAATGGAGACAGAATATCTACCCAGTAAGGCTGTTATGAGGATTAAATGAGATAATGCATAGCAGGTGGTTAGGAGGTACTCAATAATATTAGCTGTTATGACAATGATAGTTATGATTCTAGTAGCTCCAATTTTTGTTTTCTCTCCTTGCCTTAGTTTCTGAAACTGGAATTGAAAAACTTTGATTAGTGGTGTGTGTCTGGACTCCCCAGTGAGCCCTGGGCTGAAGAAAAACACCACCCCCCTTTGGTGATTAGGCAGAGGGCTTATGTAGGCACAAAGAAGCCTAATGCAGGGCAGCTGTGGTCCTCAAACTTTAGTGAGTCATCTGGAGGGCTCATTAAAACATACACTGTCAGGCTACATTTCCAGAGCTTCTGATTCAGTACGTCTCAGGTGGGGCACAAGAAATTGAGTTTCTAACACATCCCCAAGTGCTGCTGCTGGTCAAGGGGCTGCACTTTGGCAACCACTGAGAAAAGAGTCCTGAATAAGACTGAAAGAAACCTGAGTCCAGGTGCTGGGGGCTTTTGCCATGGATCTTGAACAATTAATGCATCTCCACTTGGAAGTCTAATAAACATTTCAAACTTAACATGTCCAAGGAGAACTTTTGCTTTCCACATTTGCCCACCTCTGCAAAGCTGCTCCTTCTGTCTCACTTAATGGTCCCACCATTCATGAATTTCCTCAGGCCAAAAATCGTAATGTTTTTGATTTTTCACTTTCTCTTGTTGTTACATCCAATTCCTCAGCAGTCCTGTTGGCTCATCAAAATATATCTCAAATCTGAGCTGTTCCCACCACTTCCACCCCTACTACCCTGGATCAAACTGAGTCCTCTCTTGCCTGGACTACTGCTGTAGCCTCCCCATTGGTCTTCCTGCTTGTCTTTTTGCCCCTCTACAGGCCTCCTATTTGTAGCTAGAATAAAATTCTCTAAGTCTTCTAGGTTCTTCATGGTTGGAGAGATAGGCCAGGTGAAGGACTTTGATCTTAATCCTAAGAGCAGTGAAATGCCACTAGAAGGCTGGTGACACTATCTGATTTGCATGTATAAAAATATCATCCTGCTGCCCTGAGGAGACACTTGGACCAGTGTTTTTCAATGGCTGTAAATGTAGGGGTGCATTTGGTATAAATGCCTGGAAAGCCACCAGTTATTGGGACTGATGTAGAGGATTCTTAAAGCAAATGTACTTCACAGGGCCTGGTTTTCCAAAGCCTTGAAGTTTCAAATATTGACCTTGCGGAGGACTGGAAATTTTCCTCAGGCTATAAGTCTCCGGTTTAAGATAAAGATTTGTGGCACAGCAAGGTTGCTGGCTCAAGGACAGACT